AGCGACCACCAACACGAATCAAACCAACGTCATCTATGAAAGGCGAGAGAGATATAATGCTGCTGGAGGACTCCACACAGTTCCCCTTCCGCAGAGCACGGTACTCAGGATACAGATGGGCGCGTTGAATGATGCGACATAATAAATGCGATCCTTTGCGAAGGTCTTCAGAAGAGAGATCAGGTAACTTTTTCTTACTGACGAACTTATGAACATACCCAAAATGCGCATCATGACTCCGAATGAGTTAATGTGCTTAAACGAAAGCGAGATGTCGACACGCTCAGACGACAGCAATACTCGATGTCTAATTTCCGGAAGACTGAGTTCGAACGAACAACGTTCAGACCAGCTACTTCTTTCGCCTTGCAAGAAAGAAGGTCCATTCATCCACAAACTAGCAAGCAACTAGCCTGCAAGAGCTCCTGAGGCGCTGCAGATTGTCAGCCGGGTTCATTTCAGTTGGGACATAGCGCCAATCCATGCCCCTTGTAAGTTGCTGTGTTGCAGAAATCTTGTTAGACACGAAAACGTTGAATTTGAATGGTTCCTCTTGCAACCAAGACAGTACCACAGTTAAATCCGACCAGCAATGGATCGGGCAGTCGAAGGTATCTATTTTTCTAATTTCGCGAAGTAGATTGGCTAATAGGAACGCTGCACATAGCTCAAGCTTAGGCACCGTGAGGGTTTTCAATGGTGCAACTCTAGCCTTCGAGCAAAGCAAATGTACCTCATCGGCGGTATCCTTAAACGAACGAGCATAGATATAAGCCCCATAGGCCTGGAGGCTGGCATCACAGAAGGCATGCAATTCAAACCTTGCCTTAGGTTGAAGTATGTAGCGCGGAAATGTATCGTGACCCACAGTAGCGAAGTCCTTGCAAAACTCAGCGCAAGCCGATTCCAGTGGCTGAGGAAGACTTTCATCCCAATGTAGCTTGTCTCTCCACATGCGCTGCATGATGATTTTCGCTCTTGTCAATGTGGGTCCAATCAATGCCATTGGATCATAGCACCGTGCAATGGTTGACAACACCAAACGCTTAGTGTGCTTGCCAACACCGATTTGAGGTGCAAAAGTAAACAAGAACTCGTCCCTGTGGGGTTCCCAGATGAGTCCAAGCGACTTGGTCACATCGCTGCCATCATCGAGCTTCAGAAAACTTTCCATTTCTGCCTCAGGGACTTCACGAAGAACATCAAGAGAGTTGGAACACCATTTCCTTAACTGCAAATTGCCACAAGCAAGAAGATCCGTGGTTTGACGCATAATATCCAGCACTTCCTCTACTGAATTTTCTCCAGAAATCATATCGTCCACGTAGAAGTCCTGTAGAATGTTTTCTGAACCCAATGGATCAAAGACGACTTATCCATGGCCAGCTGATGCATAGCTCGAATAGCTAAAAACGAAGCAGGCTTAGTCCCATGGGTGACAATGTTAAGCTTGAAGATCTGTATATCGTCGTCAACTGAGTCCCTCCACAATATGCATTGGAGCATGGTGTCGGCCATCGAGACACGCACGCACCTATACATTTTACCGATATCGCCTGTAAGAGCAATGGAAAATGTACGAAATCGAAGGAGAGTGTGAGACAGCTTGGCTTGAATGGTGGGACCTGACATAAGCAGATCATTCAACGAGAGACCAGATGTGGTAACTGCAGAGCCGTCGAATACGACTCTTAGCTTTGTCGTGGAGCTGTCCTCTTTAATGACGCAATGATGCGGCAAGAAATCTGCAATTGTGTCTATCTTCATTTGGCACCAGAGACATATGATCAAGGGACAGGTACTCCTTCATAAATGCCGAATATTTCGAATATAGAGCTGGATTACGCACGAAATAGCGCTCCAAATTGTCCAACCGTCGCTTTGCTTGCAAGTAGGAATCGCCCAAGGACTCCAGACTTCGCTTCATGGGCAAGCTAACGGAATATTCCCCTGAGGGTAATCGAGTCTGATGGTTGACAAAGTGGTCCTCGCAGTGCAGCTCCTCCTTTGTTGCCCTAGCGATTGTCTCAAAGATGTGCTCCACTTCCCAAAATTGACGAACCAACTCATCGAGCCGAGTGCTGTGATTAATGTCATCCGAAGATTGGGTTGCGATGAACGACGAGTTAGAATCCATCCCAGATGTGTCTTCTGCAGCAACGGTAGTCCAGGCGACAGCTGAATTTGGCCCACACACAGCAACTCGAAGAAAAGTCCGACTCCGATGAGCAGTTCAATCCGCTGCGGCTTATGGAACGAAGGGTCAGCAAGCTGGATATTCGAAGGTATAGGCCAGTTAGCAGTGCTAACTGTGATGCTAGGTTGATGGTCCGTGATCTTCTGGGCAACGACGGCAGTGATGCTAGTGGTGAACTCTGAAATCCGCGATTTCAGAACGAGATCCACCGAGATACCTTCTGTTGGGAAGCTAGCATCTCCTATGCCAGAGACGATAAGCGATTTGGTTGTTCGAAGTTTTAGCTGATTAGCTAGACGACTAGTTATGAAATGCAATTGCGATCCCGAATCCAAAAATGCGCGACATGGCACAAAAGTTCCAACGCTGTTTTTTACGAGAACGACGGCAGTGGCTAAAAGCACAGCAACAGAAGGACTGTGGGACATAAAAGCTTGAGGCAAGGTGGGCGATAATGCAACCATGGCGTTACGACTTGGTTGTGCTGGTGAGGTTTCAGTTGGAGAAACAGATTGGGCAGCCTCTTTTGGACGAATGAAATGCAAAAGAGTGTGGTGCTTCGATCGGCAAATGCGGCAGGGACCTGATCTACAATCTCTCAATTGATGGCCCTTTCGTAGGCAATTAAGGCATAGCAAGAGCCTCTTGGCTTCCAGGCGACGATCATTCGGCGATAGAATTGTGAAACGTTGACAACTGGCAATCAAACTGGAGCGCTCGATGCTACAAACCACTTTCTTTGATGCGTACTCACGGTTTTTCCTGACTTGCCAACCTGACCATCTTGTCCTTGCATGGATTGATCCGCATTTTCAAGCGTTCGACATCTTTTTTCCAAGAATCCAGATAATTTCTCCCAAGATGGCAGCTCTTGATTCGACGAAGACTCCTCCCATCTATTTTGAGAGGCTTTGTCCAGCTTCTGAAGAACAGTTAGCACGAGAATACAATCCGCCACTTCTTCCTTGCTTGCAAGCGACTCCATAGCACGAATATGCGAGGTAACTCTGTCGGTCAGTTCCCTCAACCTGCCCACCAATGCGTCAGCCTTCTCCAACCCAAATATCCCCCTAATGTGTGCCTGCAAAATGAAACGTTTGTTGTCAAAACGTCGCTACAGAATGTCTATTGCTACGATATAATTAGCTTCATTTATTTCGAGCCAGCTGATGGTATTCAGGGCTGCGCCACTCAAGCAATAACGTAGATGCTGTAGCTTTTCGATAGGGATCAGCTTAGACTCCTTGTCAATAATCGCGGTGAACATTGAGAAGAATTTGGCCCACTCCGTATAAACTCCGTATAAACTCCACTGAATTTGGGCAGCTCCATATGAGGTAACCGAGATCGATTCACTAGCGTTGGCGTTGAATGTGGAACAATGCTTATTAGTCGAGTGACTTCCAAGCTAGCGCTGAAGAATGGTCCTCAACGACAATATGGACGTGTCGAATTTGGCAGGAATTTCACTGGACATTGACTCAAAATCCACTTCCTCCAAACTGGTGTGTGCCCCAACAAAATTTGATTTAAGCTCCGTCAATGATTCCAACAACCCTCGCAAGTCGTATTCATCCATTTGGCGCAACTTTTCACTATCCATCTCTGTGCGTATGGACTCTAGCCGATCGAAAATAACTCTAGCCTTCAGTCTCATGAAGGAAATACGAGATACAGGAACAGGGACTTGGGTGCTGGCTGCGTACGCACTAAAACTTTCACCAAAGCTTTCACGGAGCAGCGCCAAATGTCACAGAATCACTTTCATTGCCCATAGCAAACGATCCACTCTTTCTACTATTCTTTCTCTTGCCCATGTTTTCGGATATAGAAAACGGCTGACGCGGAGGGTGCTAGTCGATCATAATTAAATATGATTACGCAACGCGCGAGTTCAGACGAGTTCAAACGCCTTTGCGTTCACTTTTTTGGCACTTGTAAATGCGATATGTATGCACCGGTGAAAGCAACGAAGCGACGACGGAAAAACCAATAATTATGCAAAAGAGAGAACGTTAGAGATGTACTTTGCTTTCGAGTTCGAATTCCAGAGAGATATTACTGCAGCCTCTCACAAAAGCTGGCTAAAGCAAACGACCAAAAAGGAGGCGAAGAAAACTAACGGACCACGCTTAGAACTCTATGCAGCCAGTCTCGACAGTGCGTTGCGCAGGCTGAAGCAGACGGTGAAAGAGAATACGAAAACGAATAGCGGGCCGCTAGAGCTGCTAAAGTCGGCCACAGCGGTTCGCTACAAATGTCACGTGAAACCTTCAAAATTGGATTATTTGAATTTGGTTAAAAACACTTTTTAAGCACTGCAAGCCCACGGCGATCACGTCGGGGTCACCAAAATGTTGGAAGCTGTCGAGCTTTTTCGGCAACTCTGACTCCACATTTACAAATAATTTAATCCGTTAGTAAAGTTTACAAAGGTTTTTTTTTCGATGGGTTACAAGGGGTTGAGGCCGTGGCCGTGAATTCGATTCGATGCGTTCGAAAAATATTTTGGACTGCTGCGAGAACAGGGCGAAGCAATGCACTATAAGCAGTAGTGACATTTGCGTGTGGGTACGGGAACGTACAGAGAGAGCGATTTTGAGTATAAGAGATGATGTGTGACTATGTGATGTTAATTTCTTAAGAACTATTAACGGCTGCTGCTCTGAACATACTCCCCCCCCGTTGAAAGACCAGGGCTTTTAACAAGATCCAAAACGGGTAGGACGCACAGCTTGTTGACAGCTCGACGAGTGGTTCCAGATGGTGTTCTCAGGATGGCAACTCGCACAGCCCCATCAGCTCAAGCGATGACGTCGATCACCCGTGCTAATGGCCACTTCAACGGCGGCAAGTTTTCGTCCTTGATACAGACGATGTCGTTGACTTGGATCGATGGCTGCGGTGTGCGCCATTTGGCACGTTGTTGAAGCAGAGTCAAATACTCCTCACTCCAACGCTTCCAAAGTCTGTTAAAGTTTAGATTCGTAACGTCTGGCTCGGGAAACTCCATCAGCTGCCGACCAATTAGAAAATGTCTTGGTGTAAGGACGCCAAGATCTTCAGGATTTTCTGAAATTTCGAGACGAGGACGAGAATTTATTACAGCCTGGATTTGGCAGACCAATGTCCGCAGCTCGTCAAAGCCAAAGAGTGACGATCCCAGCGAACGATATAAATGCTTCTCGGCCATCTTCACTGCTGCCTCCCATAAGCCCCCGAAGTGGGGTGAGCGAGGCGGGATAAACTTCCAATTGAAGCCATTGTTGATGCAATGATTAAGAACTGCATCACGATGCTTCTCGCTCATAAACAGCCGCCGAAGGTCCTCCAACTCGTTCCTTGCGCCCACAAAATTGGTGGCATTGTCCGACCAAATGCATCGGGGTATGCCGCGCGTGGCAACGAAGCGTTTGAGGGCACTCAAAAATCCAGCAGTTGTGAAGTCCTTCACTAATTCCAACCAAACGGCCTTTGTTGCAAAACAGATGAAGATGCTGATGTAGCATTTTGTAGGCATTCGAGTGCGCCTATCTGGCTTGTAATAGAAGGGACCACAGCAGTCGATCCCAGTGACGCTGAATGCAGGCGAATCCTGCACTCGATCGAAGCTAAGAGTTGAGTGCCGCAAGCGACCACCAACACGAATCAAACCAACGTCATCTATGAAAGGCGAGAGAGATATAATGCTGCTGGAGGACTCCACACAGTTCCCCTTCCGCAGAGCACGGTACTCAGGATACAGATGGGCGCGTTGAATGATGCGACATAATAAATGCGATCCTTTGCGAAGGTCTTCAGAAGAGAGATCAGGTAACTTTTTCTTACTGACGAACTTATGAACATACCCAAAAATGCGCATCATGACTCCGAATGAGTTAATGTGCTTAAACGAAAGCGAGATGTCGACACGCTCAGACGACAGCAATACTCGATGTCTAATTTCCGGAAGACTGAGTTCGAACGAACAACGTTCAGACCAGCTACTTCTTTCGCCTTGCAAGAAAGAAGGTCCATTCATCCACAAACTAGCAAGCAACTAGCCTGCAAGAGCTCCTGAGGCGCTGCAGAATGTCAGCCGGGTTCATTTCAGTTGGGACATAGCGCCAATCCATGCCCCTCGTAAGTTGCTGTGTTGCAGAAATCTTGTTAGACACGAAAACGTTGAATTTGAATGGTTCCTCTTGCAACCAAGACAGTACCACAGTTAAATCCGACCAGCAATGGATCGGGCAGTCGAAGGTATCTATTTTTCTAATTTCGCGAAGTAGATTGGCTAATAGGAACGCTGCACATAGCTCAAGCTTAGGCACAGTGAGGGTTTTCAATCGTGCAACTCTAGCCTTCGAGCAAAGCAAACGTATCTCATCGGCGGTTACCTTAAACGAACGAGCATAGATACAAGCCCCATAGGCCTGGAGGCTGGCATCACAGAAGGCATGCAATTCTAACCTTGCCTTAGGTTGAAGTATGTAACGCGGAAATATAGCGTGACCCACAGTAGCGAAGTTCTTGCAAAACTCAGCGCAAGCCGATTCCAGTGGCTGAGGAAGACTTTCATCCCAATGTAGCTTGTCTCTCCACATGCGCTGCATGATGATTTTCGCTCTTGTCAATGAGGGTCCAATCAATGCCATTGGATTATAGCACCGTGCAATGGTTGACAACACCGAACGCTTAGTGTGCTTGCCAACACCGATTTGAGGTGCAAAAGTAAACAATAACTTGTCCCTATGGGGTTCCCAGATGAGTCCAAGCGCCTTGGTCACATCGCTGCCATCATCGAGCTTCAGAAAACTTTCCATTTCTGCCTCAGGGACTTCACGAAGAACATCAAGAGAGTTGGAACACCATTTCCTTAACTGCAAATTGCCACAAGCAAGAAGATCCGTGGTTTGACGCATAATATCCAGCACTTCCTCTACTGAATTTTCTCCAGAAATCATATCGTCCACGTAGAAGTCCTGTAGAATGTTTTCTGAACCCAATGGATCAAAAACGACTCATCCATGGCCAGCTGATGCATAGCTCGAATAGCTAAAAACGAAGCAGGCTTAGTCCCATGGGTGACAATGTTAAGCTTGAAGATCTGTATATCGTCGTCAACTGAGTCCCTCCACAATATGCATTGGAGCATGGTGTCGGGCATTGAGACACGCACGCCTATACATTTTACCGATATCGCCTGTAAGAGCAATGGAAAATGTACGAAATCGAAGGAGAGTGTGAGACAGCTTGGCTTGAATGGTGGGACCTGACATAAGCAGATCATTCAACGAAAGACCAGATGTGGTAACTGCAGAGCCGTCGAATACGACTCTTAGCTTTGTCGTGGAGCTGTCCTCTTTAATGACGCAATGATGCGGCAAGAAATCTGCAATTGTGTCTATCTTCATTTGGCACCAGAGACATATGATCAAGGGACAGGTACTCCTTCATAAATGCCGAATATTTCGAATATAGAGCTGGATTACGCACGAAATAGCGCTCCAAATTGTCCAACCGTCGCTTTGCTTGCAAGTAGGAATCGCCCAAGGACTCCAGACTTCGCTTCATGGGCAAGCTAACGGAATTTTCCCCTGAGGGTAATCGAGTCTGATGGTTGACAAAGTGGTCCTCGCAGTGCAGCTCCTCCTTTGTTGCCCTAGCGATTGTCTCAAAGATGTGCTCCACTTCCCAAAATTGACGAACCAACTCATCGAACCGAGTGCTGTGATTGATGTCATCCGAAGATTGGGTTGCGATGAACGACGAGTTATTGAGGACCGAGTGCCCGCCACCAGAAAGAATCCATCCTAGATGTGTCTTCTGCAGCAACGGTAGTCCAGGCGCCAGCTGAATTTGCCCCACATACAGAAACTCGAAGAAAACTCCGGCTCCGATGAGCAGGTCAATCCGCTGTGGCTTATGTAATGAAGGCTCCGCAAGCTGGATATTCGAAGGTATAGGCCAATTAGCAGTGCTAACTGTGATGCTAGGTTGATGGTCCGTGATCTTCTGGGCAACGACGGCAGTGATGCTAGTGGTGAACTCTGAAATCCGCGATTTCAGAACGAGATCCACCGAGATACCTTCTGTTGGGAAGCTAGCATCTCCTATGCCAGAGACGATAAGCGATTTGGTTGTTCGAAGTTTTAGCTGATTAGCTAGACGACTAGTTATGAAATGCAATTGCGATCCCGAATCCAAAAATGCGCGACATGGCACAAAAGTTCCAACGCTGCTTTTCACGAGAACGACGGCAGTGGCTAAAAGCACAGCAACAGAAGGACTGTGGGACATAAAAGCTTGAGGCAAGGTGGGCGATAATGCAACCATGGCGTTACGACTTGGTTGTGCTGGTGAGGTTTCAGTTGGAGAAACAGATTGGGCAGCCTCTTTTGGACGAATGAAATGCAAAAGAGTGTGGTACTTCGATCGGCAAGTGCGGCAGGGACCTGATCTACAATCTCTCAATTGATGGACCTTTCGTAGGCAATTAAGGCATAGCAAGAGCCTCTTGGCTTCCAGGCGACGATCATTCGGCGATAGAATTGTGAAACGTTGACAACTGGCAATCAAACTGGAGCGCTCGATGCTACAAACCACTTTCTTTGATGCGTACTCACGGTTTTTCCTGACTTGCCAACCTGACCATCTTGTCCTTGCAAGGATTGATCCGCATTTTCAAGCGTTCGACATCTTTTTTCCAAGAATCCAGATAATTTCTCCCAAGATGGCAGCTCTTGATTCGACGAAGACTCCTCCCATCTATTTTGAGAGGCTTTGTCCAGCTTCTGAAGAACAGTTGGCACGAGAATACAATCCGCCACTTCTTCCTTGCTTGCAAGCGACTCCATAGCACGAATATGCGAGGTAACTCTGTCGGTCAGTTCCCTCAACCTGCCCACCGATGCGTCAGCCTTCTCCAACCCAAATATCACCCTGATGTGTGCCTGCAAAATAAAACGTTTGTTGTCAAAGCGTCGCTTCAGAATGTCTATTGCTACGATATAATTAGCTTCATTTATTTCCAAGGCGCTGATGGTATTCCGGGCTGCGCCACTCAAGCAGGAACGTAGATGCTGTAGCTTTTCGATAGGGCTCAGCTCAGACTCCTTATCAATAATCGCGGTGAACATTGAGAAGAAATTGGCCCACTCCGTATAAATTCCACTGAATTTGGGCAGCTCCAGATGAGGTAACCGAGATCGATTGGACATTATGACAATTGACTGCGATTCACTTGCGTTGGCGTTGAATGTGGAACAATTCTTATTAGTGGAGCGAGTTCCAAGCTCGCGCTGAAGAATGGTCCTCAACGACAATATGGACGAGTCGAATTTGGCAGGAATTTCACTGGACATTGACTCAAAATCCACTTCTCCAAAATGGTGTGTGCCACAACAAAATTTGATTTAAGCTCCGTCAATGATTCCAACAACCCTCGCAAGTCGTATTCATCCATTTGGCGCAACTTTTCATTATCCATCTCTGTGCGTATGGACTCTAGCCGATCGAAAATAACTCTAGCCTTCAGTCTCATGAAGGAAATACGAGATTCAGGAGCAGGGACTTGGGTGCTGGCTGCGTTCGCACTAAAACTTTCTCCAGATAGAGCAGCGCCAAATATCACAGAATCTCTTTCATTGCCCATAGCAAACGATCTACTCTTTCTACTATTCTTTCTCTTGCCCATGTTTTCGGATATAGAAAGGAGGGTGCTAGTCGATCACAATTAAATATGATTACGCAACGCGCGAGTTCAGGCGAGTTCAAACGCCTTTTCGTTTACTTTTTTGGCACTTGTATATGCGATATGTATGCACCGGTGAAAGCAACGAAGCGACGACGGAAAAACCAATAATTTTGCAAAAGAGAGAACGTTAGAGATGTACTTTGCTTTCGAGTTCGAATTCCAGAGAGATATTACTGCAGCCTCTCACAAGAGCTGGCTAAAGCAAACGACTAAAAAGGAGGCGAAGAAAACTAATGGACCACGCTTAGAACTCTATGCAGCCAGTCTCGACAGTGCGTTGCTCAGGCTGAAGCAGACGGTGAAAGAGAATACGAAAACAAATAGCGGGCCGCTAGAACTGCTAAGGTCGGCAACAACGACTTTTGTTCGATACTTTTTTCACAAATGTCACGTGAAACCTTCAAAATTGGATTAATTGATTGGTATAAACACTTTTAAAGCACTGCAAGTCCACGGCGATCACGTCGGGGTCACCAAAATGTTGGAAGCTGCCGAGCATTTTCGGCAACTCTGACTCCACATTTACAAATAATTTAATCCGTTAGTAAAGTTTACAAAGGTTTTTTATACCCGTACTCAAAAAAGAGTTAAGGGGTATTTTGTATTTTTGGTCAAAGTGGATGTGTGTAACGCAGAGAAGGAAACGTTTCCGACCCCGTAAAGTATATATATTCTTGATCAGCATCAATAGCCGAGTCGATAGAGCCATGTCTGTCTGTCCGTCTGTCCGTCTGACCGTCTGTCCGTCTGTCTGTCTCGATGAGCGCCTATATCTTAGAGACTAGAAGAGCTAGGGCAACCCCTAGCGGACGAGATGTAGAATCTAAATGGTACATCTTTAATCTACATGTTAGATGTGAAATATACATTGTAGATGTAGATAGCAGATATAGCAAAAAAATTTAAGATGTACATTTTTTTTTTTAATTCTAAAATTCTTAAAAATTATATGCTCAAAAATTTACATACTGACTGAGTACGGGTATAAGTAGAGTCGCGTCCCAGAAGCGACTCACGTTCCTTCTCGTTTTTTCTCGATGGGTTACAAGGGGTTGAGGCCGTGGCCGTGAACTACGATTCGATGCGTTCGACAAATATTTTGGATTGCTGCGAGAACAGGGCGAAGGGCGAATGCACTATAAGCAGTAATGACATATGTGTGTGGGTACGGGAACGTACCGAGAGAGCGATTTTCAGTATAAGAGATGATCTGTGACTATGTGATATTAATTTCTTAAGAACTTTTAACGGCTGCTCCGAACAGATATTAAGCTTTCAAATTCCATCACCAAAACGACTCAAAACTAATTTTACCTGAAAAATACCGTTGCTGGTCCAATGCCAAATACCAAAATTTCAAACGCTTTCCGTTTGCTTTGTTTTCAATTGGCAGTTGGGCCCGCAGCCTTCAAAAAAGTATTTTTTGTCTATTTTTCATTTTTGAGGTTTGGTTAACGATTCTTAGCTCCACCGTTTATCCATAGATTTTAATGAACAATACCTTAAACGAAGCATAATTAATGCGAGTATCTAAAACTAAAGCCAAGAGTTATTTTTCTGTCGATTTTTCCCGAGGTTTTAAAGTCAAAATTTCGGAAAAAAAATACCGCAAAAAATGATGATTATATATAATAATATAATATAATAATAACCATCCTCCCGCTCTTTACAGATAAAGTTGAAATTTAATAAACTACACATGGCATTATTTTTAATCCAAATTTCAGATATTATGGCAATATCAATGTTATTGTTAACCAAGAAAATTTCTAGTAGATGCTTATTATTATTTGTAGTAAGACTTTGAATGTTGTATTGTAGTATTTTCATTTGAGCTAGTTAGAATCAATGTAAATTAAAAAAAAAAGAACTAAATAATAATAGATATATAAACGGGAAAAAAAAACAAAAAATTAATCAAATTGAGAATCTTGAAATAAATAAATATTAGTTATAAATTTTACTTAAATCAATTTTACAGTTTGTTTGCAAAATTGTTGTATTTAGTTCCTCTAGGAATTGTCTAGTATCTATATTTATATTATTGTTGTTTGTATCTGTAAGAAAATGGGAGATGTCTAGAGAAAGCTTGTTAAAGCTTTTTTCAGCTGTGTTAAGAGCCGTCTCATGTTGGATGTTGAGAGATTGAATCGTTCACTTGGAACATATTCATGCTCTCTCAAAATATTCTGCCAAGATTTTATTGTGTTTTGTGCATTTAGACTTTCCGTATTCTTTTATTTGTTGTTTTAAACAATTTTGTTAAAGGGTTTAAAAGAATGTACAGTTTCTGCCGTGGAAGACATGTTGTTTTGCAACAGTATATTTTCATTTGTCGATTTTTGCCAAAAAGGTTGCGGAAAAGAATCATGATCAAAAATATCAATTGATTCCGTCTTGCCACTAACCATACAGTATATAGATGTGCCAGTTCATACACCGAACGTGTCGCAGCTGAGCCATTCGGCTGTGGTGCTGAGACGTTCGGGTCGTGGGCCTGAATTTCGGTTTTTTGTTTTGTTTTGAGGGCGGATGTAGCGACCTGAGCTGACCTGCCGCAACATAAATGAGTAATGGGCAGAGTGGGTAGGGGTGGGAAATAAATACAATATATAAAAATAAAGGATGTTATCTCTGCTCATATCTCCTAAATTAATATTATGTTGAAAATTATATTCGCTAAAACTCTGGAAAATGTTCTACTAGATGTGTACATTTATTTTATTCAAAGCATTCATAAAATATAATTTTATAATTTATAATTTAATATAAAATATAATTTTGCCACCTCTTTTCGGCTGAGTCCCCACTATAAATACAAACAATACAAACAAATAACAACTTTAATTTTAAAGTTTAAAACCAAAATCGATCTATTCAGGGCCAGATCAACCCTCAACCGGGCCCTGGGCAACCATTAATCTGGGGCCTTCCATTTTTTTCGCCAGCTCCCTTCTTTTTTCATTTCAAATAAAAACTTATAAATTTTATGTTTGTTTGATTAATTTGTATGTTTATCTTTTTTATCCATTATTTGGAGTTTTGTTATTTCAACAAATTTTTCTTTTAGCCCTAATGGGGGCCCTAGGCAACTGCTAATCCGGCCGTGGGCCGATTCCCGTCGTCAGACTTCATATTTTGTTGGTGCATTGACGAAGCCGAAAGCAGAGGCAAAGGCTAGCCTAAAAGAGAATGGAAGAAAGACCCGCGCGCCTGTCGCAACATCAGCCCTTCAAAACAAGACTAAAACCCGAAATTCAGTTCAAGCGGCAAAAAATTGTAGAGCACAGCACACACAAGCACAGTATGTGTGAATACATGGCACACACACATTAACGTAACCTTGAAACGAAACTCAAAACGGTTTCGGAAAATAAGAATTGATACATATTTTTTCGTGTCTGCTTACACCAGAGGCCGGCAGCGTCGTTTGCACTGTGCATAGGAAAAAATTTCGGGCAGCGCAGTCGGCACACGTACAGCGTAAAGACTTCGTGTGGTTTCGTTATTCTGCGCTTCTGACGTAGCGGCAGAGCAAATTCTGCCTCACTGACGTAGCGGCAGAGAAACATGCTTCGGGCTATGCACAAACGGCTTCATATTCTGCTCGCTTGCCTCAGCGGCAGAGAAGCATTCGTGTGCCCTATGCACAATTACTCGGCTTTCGCAGCTGTAGAGAAATAAGTAACGTTTTTGACTTCGTGTCTGTTGTCTTCGCACACAAACGCACCAAAAAAATGTGTGAGTCTGTATGCCGACACCTGGTTTACACACATACATTTGCAATGCTCATCTGGCTTTCCCTTCCCTTCCATGAGTCATACATGCCGAACGGCCCATCTCCCGACCCGAATGCCTCTGCCTCACAGAGCCGAAGGCCCTCGGAGCTGGGACAGAAAACTCAGCTGCGACACGTTCGGTGTATGAACTGGTAAGTGAACTATGGTTAGTGCTTCCGTACAGAGCCTAGAAAACAGTTTTTGACCGAAAACATTTCTTATCGGATTCATACGAATATCAACCCTGATTCTGTTCGCGAGGTGTTTTTTCGGATCTGAGCGCTAGGCTAAAAGAATTTAAAAAAAATTGTATTTTTGTATGCATGAGTATGTATGAGTCGCAACGAAGCTGCGTTCTCTCGTCTTCATTTTTGATTTGTATTCCCACTGCTTTTGACGAACATATATTTGCTTTTCAAATTTAGTCACAAATTAATACCACAATGAATAGGTAATGGGCCCAGAATTTCTGTATGTTGAAAATGATTTTTTTTGTACTTTCTGAAATTGTGACTCAATCGATTGCGAAAATGGGTTCGTCTTTCCATTCAATCGATAAGCTCGACAATGAGAATTATAGTGCGTGGGTAATTAAAATGAAAAGCGTGCTAGTACACTCCGAGTTGTGGTCAGTAGTGTGCGGCCGAGAAGTGAAAAATGAAGAAGATAATGATGCGCAGATAGCACAGTTTGATTTAAAGGCTCTTGCGAGTATTATGCTGTGTATCAAGCCATCGCAGATAAACTATCTGAAAAACTTTAGATCCGCAAGAGAAGCATGGATATTTATAGCGGGTATCCATATGCCATCAGGCCCCGCGCGTCATATAAGTCTGTTAAAGCAGCTGTTGTTCGTAAAAATGAGCGAATATGAATCGGTAATAAATCACGTAAATAATTTTTGTGCGATCGTGGAAAAACTGAAAGAAATTGACTAATGCCCTCTACACACTGAGCCCATCCCGTGGGAACGGTGGGAATTTTTGAAAGATGTGTAACACCGATTCACACTGAGACCATCCACTATCCATGAGAAACAGCTGATGCTCACAATTGCGTATGGTGAAAATTTGTAAACATTTATAATTAAAATGAATATAAATAACATTGCAATGGTTGTGAATATGATTCAGCAGAAAACATATTCTTGCACAAGCTAACCATGTTGCTGGACATTAATGATGATAATGAGGCTAATATTGACGAGGAGAATTTATTGGAATGGATATCTGTTTTAAAAACACGGAAGCGTGGTCATTTGTGACTGCTTCTACTAAATCCAGTCAATGTTTTAAATACAAATAAATATTCTGCGTTTGTTGAGAAGCGGTTTGGGACTTTTATGGAGAAAGATGTACCCGAAAACAACTAGATGTTTTTAAGGAATGTTTTGTATAGCCATAGCATTGTATACTTTGGGCTCTTTTTCTGAGTATAGAATAGTCGGAAGGCTGTCAGCCCATAGCGTGTGCAATATCCTGCATGAGTTTTGCAGAGCATTCATAAATTAGAGGATCCCTATCCTCTGGGACCACCAACCGAGTTGTGTACCTGAGACAATTCTGACATATCAGATGTTTTGTTGTTGTTTTTTATCATATTCCTGTCTGACATTGTTTACATTTTCGTAGTGAATTCCGATTATTTGTTGTGAATGTCAAATATTTCTGGTTGCATTTGACAATGGTGGATGGATGATGGATGGTGGAATAACTGGGCATATTTCGGAACGGCAAAACCTTACGGACCATCCCAGAAATGGATGGTGGATAGTCGTCAGTGTGAAAAGGCTATTAACAGTTCCTGAAGCGTTGATTTTTGTGGCCCAGTCTATACGACACTAAAAATTCGTGGAAGTCCTACATAGCGTTATTTGTCTGTTTTGCGTCCAAGGCGGTTCATCTAGAAATTGTCTCCAATGTAACGACTAACTCCTTATTGGCTTTTTAAAGGTTCGTTGGTCGTCGAGGATGTCCGCTCCGCGTGAGCTGCGACAACGCGACAAATTTCGTCGGAGCAAGTCGCCACTTCGACGAGCTGAGGAGGACGCTAGAGACGGAAGCGGACGCAATTCGAGAGTTCGCAGTGAGAAGCGGCTGCGAGTTCGCCTTCCTGCCATTTCGAGCTCCGCACATGGGCGGACTGTGGGAGGCAGGAGTGAAGTCGGCCAAAAACCTCCTGCTGAGGTCGGCCGGAATCGGAATCGGCCGGAATCGGAGCTGGAGAGCGTGATGGTGGCGTGGCATCGTGGCGGTGCTCAACTCGTTACCTCTGGGACCAATAAGCCCCGACCCAAGCGACGGAGACGCTCTGACTTCCGGGCAACTGCTGACAGGCGGGCCGCTCATCGCACCCCCAGCACCCTGGACCCCGGACCAGGAGGGTCTACTCCCGGGAGTATGTGCTGGGCTTGCAAATAAGATGCAAGTGGCACCAGGAGCAGCCCAACGTCGAGGAAGGCGACCTCGTCATCGTCGCAGAGGACAACCTTCCGCTCCAACAGTGGCTCCTCGGAAGGGTCGTCGCAACACACGCCGGGCAGGACGGAAAGGTCAGGGTGGTCGACCTCAGGACGAGCAGCGGAGCGGTCTACAGGAGGCCAATACATAAGTTGGCGGTTCTGCCGATGGGTTGAAGTCCTACAGGCCTTCAACGGGGCCGGTGTCGCGTCACGACGCTAATTTGTATATTTTGGTAAAATTTGAAGTCTATTGTAAGATAGTTTAGGGCGAAGCGGGAGCGCAATAAAGCTCTCTCTCGCTCTTGGCGAATTCGCCCCGCTTCGCCGCCCTAGATAAGTTAGGCTTAATAAAATGTTATAACGAAAATGAAAAGAAGTCGAAAATTAGTATTGAAATCGACCGCACGTCCCCTTTGTTGAGTCTTTCTTCTTTTCGTGGAAATATATAGAATATGCAGCCACCAAACTCGTTTTTTTTTTTGTTAAATTTTTATTTAGAAAAACTATTCTAAAATTTCAATAAATATTTTTAGTTTTTTTTATTACTTTTAATTGCTTTTTAAGTAAAAGTGTAATTTTTCCCTATATTGCGATGCACTACTAATTTTCTTTAGGTTTTGTGGTAGCTGATTCCACAGACGGATAACGGATATAATTATCGGTTCTCTTGTATAAACGATTTTATGAAACATTATTAGAATTCTGTAGTCTTTCCAAGTTTCAAACTTCATCTGATTGATGCTGTCAGCCAAACTGGATATGTGCTCACCCCTTTTAACATTGAAGACATATCTAGCTATATTATTGTATGCTACTTTTAGTCGGTGCTGAGATGAATACCATAACACAGTGTGGGTATTAGATATGTTTTGGCTATCAAGAGTCCGAGGTGTTTTGGAAAAAATTGCTGAGTCAAGGAAAGTAATCTTATTATACCATACGTTTTACCAGCTGCCTTGGTTACTTGGTCACTCCAGGACAATGTCTTATATATGGTGATACCAAGATTAACAGCCTGATCCACATATTCAACTGGCGTCTTATTTATTGATAATTTTGGCACATTTTCCGTGCTCAGCAACCTTTTATGTATAATAATACATTTAGATTTGACAGGGTTTAGCGACAATTCATTACAGTTGGCCCATTTACTAACGTTCGACAGTTCAACATTACACAACAATACACACATATTTATTCTGCTTAACGGACAACTAACATACATTTGGACATTATCGGCATACATATGAACTTTACACTTGGATAACGAACCAGGGAGATCACCAGTGAGACGAAAAGCAAATGCCAAAAGCATTTAGGGGAAATTATATGTATAAGGTGAAGAGGAGTGGACCAAGAATTGAACCTTGGGGTACTCCGCGTCTCACAGGTAAAAATGTTGATATTTCAGTGCCAGTTATCACAGCTTGGCTTCTTCCATGCAGATAGGACGATATTAGTTTTACTGCAGTGTTAGTAAAATTAAAAATTTTGTTTAACATAGTACATAAGATATTGTGGTCTACCGTGTCAAAAGCTTTACTAAAGTCCAAGAGTGTCAGAAATGTAACCTTACTATCGTCAAGTTCCTCTCTAATATTTTCTGTGACATCTAAAATGGCAGTAGTACAGCTTCGGATTTTACGGAAGCCGGATTGTTTATTGCACAATAAAGAATGTTGTACTAGGTAGTTATTGATTTTTTGCGCCATGAGATTTTCGAGTACTTTTGATAGGTAGGGCAGGATAGATATTGGCCTGTAGTCATTATTTGCCTTTGGAATTACTTTGGCCAGTTTATACTGATCTGGGAAACTTGATGTTGTAAGCGCAGTGTTGCATATATGAGATACATGATTGATTATCCTAGGCAAAATCATTGTAATAAATTTGGGATGCTTATTATCCATGCCAAAAGCATTTGACTGAATTTTAAGGACGGAACTCAGGACATCACAGGGAGTTACGCACATAAAACTAAAGCTATAATCACAGTCGGTTTTGTTACGGCGTCAATGTAAGGGTTTGTCATGACATCAGGTACGGTCGATTGCACAAATTTTCTGTTCAGTTCGTTGACATCAGCAGTAATTTTAGGGGAAACTTTCAGGTTTCCTATGCCAAGTTTTTTAAGCTCACCCCATCTTTGCTTTGTTGATATTGCGTTGTTGAATTTTTCAGCGTAATGGTGAATTTTTTCAGTTGAGATCATTTTATTTACTGTCCGTCTTAAAATTTTAAACTGCTGGTAATGCTCAGGAGTCTTGTATCTCTTCCACTTAGAATATGTAATAGTACGTTCCCTTATTTTACAAGCAATACCTCGATTGAACCAAGGTTTTTGGCTAGCTTTAAGAGTTTTTCTTTTTAAAGGTACATGCCTGTCATAAAGTGCGTCAATGTACGCGGACAATTGTCTTAATTGATTGTTTACGTCCGTTAGTGAGTATATTGCATTCCAATTACATAAATCAATTTCAGTACAAAGTAGCCTAATATTAATGTTCTTAAAGTCCCTTAAATACACGATTTGGTCAGTCAGATGTGGGTTAAATTCATACGTCAGGTAAATTAAATCATGCTTAGAAAATACTGGTACGTCAATTTGGTCATATAAGAGAATTTTATTAATATCATTAACGAAAAAAACATCTAGTAACGTATTAGTATTATTAGAAAAGTGTGTTGGCATAGACGAATTAACAAGGTTTAAACATAAAGAAGACATTGAATCGCCAAGGTGTCGTTCAGTTAGCATATTGCTGTTAAGGTCTCCAGTTATGACTATATCTTCGTAACTTAAAGATAAAGTCGTAATTGTGTCAATTGCATCTGAATAGTCAATAAAACGATTAGGTCTATAAAGGCAGCCAATAAGAATACTCGTTGAACTCCCTTTACCAGTGCCTTCAAGAAACAAGTACTCTATTGCGCTTCCACTGGGTTGTTTACTTACTACTTTGGATTTCAGTTTGTTGTTGTGTGTATTGCAACCCCACATGCATGACCTTCTCGATCAGATCGATATAAGTCATAGCCGTCACAAGAAATCAAGACATCGTTTAGTTGGGAGACAAACCACGTTTCAGAAACACATATTACATCTACGTTGGACTTCACAAACGAATTCCTGAACTCTTCAATTTTTTGCATAGACTTTGTGCATTTATATGGCATATTTGTAAGCCGATTTTCTGCTTAGCAAGAACCTTGATAAGTGTGTTGCTATTCTCTGTGGATCTACTTATATTAGTGTGCATATTTTCCCTATCAGTAGCACACGCAATTTACAAATTAAGTATAAATAAATATAGAAACAAAACATTTAGTGCGAAACATATATTACTTACAGAACTAACACTGAACTTGACAGGTAAGAGAGCTGAGGAGAGAATCGGTTTAGCGAAAGTTATCATAATTTTTAGGAACTGTTGCCTTCTGTTCTCTATTCTCTTCACTGTGCCCGGTGTTAGCATTAATTGGGGGAGGTTGGACGCGTAGTGTATGGAGCTCTTTCAACTTAAATATCATCAATACCTCTGCAGGGTTAGCGGCTGTTTAAGCTCCCGCCGATAATTGCCAACTGCTCGCAGCAGAGCGGCCTTATCTCGCACGTGCTCCAGTTTAATAATTATAGTTGGATCGGTGGTTTTTGTTGTGCCGTGTGATGCGGAAAATTTCTTTAATACTCGGTGGCGGTGTGAGCTTTAAAGCAAAACAGAGTGAGTGAAATTGAGTTTTCAGATTCTTCTCCTAGCTAAAAGGAACACCGTGTACGTGCAGGTCACAAGCAATGCTTTGATTTGCTTGCGCTGCCAGTTTTACCTCCATCACGCCCACCTGTCCCCGCAGTACGTGCATTTCTACAACTACAGTCTCCAGCTCCAGAACGCGAACTTTCAATTGTTGGACCACACCAACCTCCGACTCCAGATGGTGTACCCGCTGAGTGAGATTTTTGATTTCTCCGGTCATCACCTTCAGTCTGTCCTGAAGGTCAAGCAGAATGCGATCCTCAGATTGCCTAATGCTGGCCGTGATTTGCTGGAGCTGCTCACTCATCTTCTGTTCGATGAGCTGGACCAAGAGGGGCGGAGGGGCTTCCGACGAACGAGCGACTTTAAGGTCCGTAGACGTTTGTTCCCGCTGGCGTTTTGATGCTGGTGATTTTGAGTGATTATCCGTGTATTTTTGAGTGTTGCTTGAAAGTGAGTGAGAGTTTATTTTTTTGTTATGCTTTGGTTTTGGCTATTGCTGTGTATGTGTTTGTGTAATTTCCTCCCGGGAAAATTAAATGTGAACAGACGTAGTTTTAGTTATTGTTTGTTCGTCTTTCGTAGTTGAAATGATTTGTGCCACGTAACTATGTGTTAAACACGCTAGTATATGTTTAATTTGCTGGTTTAAACCGATTTTTTATTTAAAATGAAGTTTTATAATTGCTGATTTAAAGCATTAACATCGAGGTCGTCATTTATCACAGATTTAGTTTTGCCAATCCCTAAGGTATTTAATGTTTTCCAAGTTTGTCTTGTATTTATTGCACTTGTGAATATATTACCGCAATAGTTTCTCTTGGCATTTGATGTCAAAGTATTAACAATACGTCGGACGGCTTTAAAAATAAGATTACAACTTTCCGTTTAATAGCGTCATAAGCCTCATTTCTCTTTTTAATTGCACTTCTAATTTGACTACTAAACTAAGACGCGCTAACTGGCTTTACAGTGCTAGTTTTTAATGGTAAAAATTCATTGTACAGATAGCCAATGTTAGAGTTGATAAAATTAAGTTGCGTGTCAACCATAGGAAGGGAATATACTAGTATACTAGTATAGTCAATGTTTTTGAAGTCTCTGTATTGGATGGTCTGTTTGTTACTGTCAATTTGCATGTCATACGTTAAAAATAAGAGATAATGTTTTGAAAAAGCAGGTTCTGAGACTTGGTCATATAGCAAAATGTTTTTTGGTTTGTTTACAAAAATTACATCTAATAAAGTGTTAATGGTCCTCGAAAAATGCGTCGGTAAGATTGTGCTCACAGGCTTAAGTCCAATCGACTCCATTTCATTTAGTATATGTTGCTCTTCTAATATGTTACTATTTAAGTCACCTGTTAGTATAATGTCCGTGTACGTCAGTGTTAGGTTAGTTAT